AGGATCCTAGGAATCGTAAGCCACGTCAAAATTGAATCAAATACATGCAAGCTTTCACCGGCCTTCAAAAACATCGTCGTGCATTCTTTGTGCACGTGTTCGTTGAAAATCCAGCGTATCCTGCGACACGAAGTGCTGAACCAGCACTGCAAAGCGCAGCTGCTCCTCGAGGGTCTTGGGCATGCACGTGCTCGAGAGATTTACTGGCAAGTAGTTCTACGAAGTGCGAATGAAAGTCCTTTGAGATTTGGCCTCCGCAGCGGAAGTCATCAAACCCTTGGAGAAACAATCGCGATTTGAAGATGTATCCTGGCATTGGCTCATGCGAGCAACGAACGCTCTTAGCCACATGGTCCAGCAGAACAACGAACACAATACACATAGTGCCTTACCTGATATTCGTTCAGGATCTGTGTGGGCCAACCAAAAGTTAGCCTTGTGCGTGGATGGACTCTGTCCTGCCAAGTCCTCAACGCAGCTGGATCAAGTTGCCGGATCAAACATGCCACACCACACTCGCATGGCCCTCGGAAAGTGCAGCATACATGTTTTTTGCTCCCAAACCGTGCGGCAGCCGATAAGCCCGTATGCCGATCAGCCAGTGGTAGGACTTAGCATGGCTTTATCGGCTTGTTGGCTCATCGTGCGCAGTTTCAACACCCAGTTTGCGAGCACAGCCGAAAAGGATGTACTCAGCCAGGAGCAATCTTTCTTTCACCAGGCTTGAGGGGCGAACCCCCGCTGGGGGCAGCCCGTTGTTGGCTGGAAGCACTGCAGCACTGCATTAAGTGCGACAGACTAGGCTACTGGTCAGGAGCAATCTCTCTTTCTTTCGCCAGGGTTATGGTATAGGGGCATTGCCCCCTATACCGCGCGCGAGTGCGCCCCCGACTGTTGTGGGGCCAGTTTGTTACATGCAGTGCCCACGGCTCAGGATGCTTGGTTTTCATAACATCCCTCGGCAACTGGAATCGGAAATGCAGTAAAGCTAATGTATACGAATATGAAAAGGAAGGAGAAAAGGATCTTATTCCAGTTCGGGGTTCTTCCCCGTGAATGGGTCTATGAATTTCGCATGTTGCCGTCAAGGAAGAACTATCACAGGAATAAGAATCAACTATGCGTGCTTTGCGGCGCATGCTTTCTCTCTCTCTCTCTCTCTCTGCTGACTTCGCTCTCGTCCAACACATAGAAGACCGTGCATCCACGTTGGACCGACAGGCAAACAAGCTTGTGCTGCTAGGCTACATATTGCATTTTCTCCTCTTCGCATCGACACCGCAGCTCCTGAAAAGCTGACAGCAAACATCGGTCAAGCGGCTACCCTCGTAAACTATTATGTTCTGCTGCAGGCTGCTCAAAAGTGTTCCTGCGTAATCGGAAATGCACGGTTGCACACTGGAACACTGGCAGAGACATAGTTGACTCAGGCCGGCTAGGTGTAGCAGGCAGGTTCGCGGCAGGGTACGAGGTACAGGGAAGCCGGCGGTGAGCGTGCTTGCAAATGACCTCGTGTGTTGAAGTCACGTGCATTGTTCATGGGCTGGTTATCGTTTGGACTTGCTTTAGCCTCTGCATGCCTCTGCTACATATTACGCCCAAGAGTGCCTGTCTGCGGAGCATTCATCTGCGACTGTTCATCACAAAATTTCAAGCTTTTAGAAGTAGTTGCAGCTTTGTTCGAGTGCATGTGTTTTTTGTTGCTTTGCTTCCCTGGTATCGTGAACTGCTCGGTCGAATTGTCCTCATGCTGAAAATCATGCGCGCCTTGTACAGCAACCATCAGCATGACAAGACTGACATCTAGTGCACACCTTTGTACAAAGACTCTGGCATTCATGTGTGCCTCCCCGCCTCGAACAAGTCTTTGAGGAAGGGCTCTACAGCATCCAGTCTGTCCGGCACGGTCATCCCATAGCCTGCGTAGTTGTCAATGTGCTCACGCAAGACCGCCTCCCTGTTCCAGTGCACCGGTGGATCATTCACAGACCAGCCATTCGCAGATGTCTACAATCTGCGGCAGAATCCAAGTAATCTCAATTGCCGGAGCCGAGAAGCAGTGGTGCGAAGCACGGGGCCCCATGCGGAGCCTCACATCATGATCCGCCAAATGCAGCGGTCATGCCGATGCCCCAGTGGCAAGTCTTCCTTAAAGGAGCTCCAACCCTGGGACAATGCCCTGGCTAGTAACGCACGGCTTGTAATCTGTGTTGTGTTGTGCTGTGCTACTGCCGTAGCTGATGGCAGTGCACCATACTGAGCGCTGAATTTGTGTGCGTGCAAGCTTTGTTTCTTGAAGCGGCGGGCTGATCGGATCAAGACGCTGAAAACCAACAGGCACGGCACAGATGCTGTCCGACGTGTCCAGGAAACGAGTCCTTTTCGGCTTACCGTGAGTTCGGTACACGTGGTCATTTGGGCACGAGGCCGTTTTGGCCTCACATCCCCTGCTATTCAGGAGAACGAAGCCCAAAAGCGCCCACCGGAGTTGCGGCTGAAGCTGGGAAACGGGGCCTATCTGGCACTCAGCCGCACTAGCAGATCTTCAGGAATTGACAATCCTGCCCGCAGATGTTTGGGCGGCGTCTTCAAGCTCCTGTGAACACAGGACAGTGCAAGCTGTCGCATGTCAACACGAAATGGATTCAGGACTTTTGGCCGCAGTCCTTCTTTTCTCCGAGGCTGAATGAAGAACGGAGTCCACATATGTCGTTCCCTGCCTGCGAACATTCAAGTTCCGCTTCAGCGGCTCCAGCTTTCTCAAGGCTCTCAGGAAGCTTCCTTCCCAGGGTGGCTCCACGAGTTGAACACACCCTTCCCAAGGGTTGGGGGGTGGTTCAATTCCTTGAGCCCGCAGACTCACACCAAGCTGGTCCGCCCTCTGCAATGCAAAGTCGCCCAGTAGTAGGGAGCTTGAGAGCTCACGCTGAGTGTCGATGATCTTGCCTTCGAGCTGCGGACAGTCTACGATGCCTTGATCACCGAGAGTCACCTCACGCAGCTCGACCTCGATATGCTGTCGCAGGTCCACGAAACGCTCGAAAAGGGTTTGCGAAGCTTCGCGAAGCCGACCCCTCATCTCCTCACAAGCGCCGCGGCTCTGACTGATGAGTGGTGGCCATTCATCTACCTCCTTTAATAAGGCTGCCAACTCATCTTGAGTCTGCGTCACCTTCGTTTGCATTGATATGCATGTCAAAAGCTTCGTATTCAAGACCATACCGTCTTGCTTCTTGGCCCGTACGTGGGAGAGAACCAGGCTCGCGATTTTTTTGAATCTTTGGAAGCCTGACATCTTCGGACCGGATTTCTCTGATGCACCATCCGTATTACTGTTCACGCTGCTGCTTCTTCCTGGGGGCTGGCTTCCAACACTGTTATTCCTTGAAGGCTGATTGCTGTTGCTCCTTGCCGGGGTTTCTGGTGTCTGCAAGGTCAGCATCCCCTGCACTTGCATCAGCTTCTTGACGTTTACGGTTCGGCGTCTGTCTGTTGAGCTTTGCTTCACCGAGTCTGTTCGCATGGGGCCGCGGCCAGAAGCGCCCATAATCGAATCGAGCAGGTTCGAGGCCTTTCCAAGCAGGGTAGTGATGCGGTACTCTGCTTCCTCCAAGAGATCAAGGCGCCAAAGCAGCCAATCCCAAATGTTGGCTGGAGCAACCACATGCGGTGGCAGGACAAGGGCAGCATGTATGTACGATGGCAGTGGGGTTTTTGCCAAAGACTGCTGAAACTCACCTCCGTGCATGGCCACCTTGTCCATCATGTCTGTGCAGACAGACAGATTTCCCTTGCAGGCAGCATGCAGAACATCATCTACCAGTGACAACATCCCCCAGGAGTGCAAGCGGCTCTGAAGCCATGCATCCCAGCCCATAACATCGTCCTCTTCCTCTTCCTCTACCTCCTCCGGTTCCTCTAATTCCGGAAAATGCTCGGCACCATCCAAACGACCGTAAAGCTCTGCTTTCTGCTGATCCCCAGCTGCGGAAGAGCGTTGAGTCGACTGTGCTGTCATTGGCGCCTCTGCTTGTGTGTCGGTGCTGTCGGAGGCCCCAAACAGGGTAGACGCCTTCATCTGGCGGCGTCTGGCGTGTGAATTCTCTCCTCGGCTTGCGTAATCTGAAGGCTCCGTGGCTGCCTTCGAGGCAGTGTTCTGAGTGTTCTGTGGAAAGCATTCGATCAAGAGAAAAGGCCATCGCATGTCCTGCTCAAAGGAACGCCTTCGTGCACGCCTCCGCGGCCGCTTTAGACACAGCTGCTGCAAGTCTCGCAAGTCTCGCAGTGCCTGGGAGCATTCCGATGGAGTAGTCGGACGGGAAGTGCAGCCGGACTTCGCTGCCACGCTTTCAGGATGCTTAATTTGATGCAAACACTCTAGCTCGCGAAGTATTCTTCGACGATGGAGCGGGTGAGCGATGCCCAGCTTTGCTAGCCCATGGTCGGTGAAGAACTTCTCTCCTGCAAAGTCATTCAGGTTCAAGTACCAAGTCGTCACCATTCGACCCAGATTCACTTCCCCAGCGTCCTGACGGCTGGGCAAGGGCGCACTCCTGCAATGCACACCCGTTCACCTAAGCCAAGAGATGCGGATCTGCCAGCCGTCCTCCTCGGAACCTATCCGTATCTGATCGATGATCCAGCCGGGAAGTGCACGCCTTAGATTCCACAATGCGCGACTGATTCAGGACTCCACCGCCAATGTCTCGACCGACTTCGACTGAAGGTCATGTGGCAGGGAGAGAAAATCGCAAAACTCCTCGACAGCGATGTCCATGACACCGGCAGCCGTTCTCTCAACTCCTGGCACCAGCACACGACCGGATACACGACCCCCGTGCCGGCCGCTGTCCGGCCCATCACAATCTTTTGGTATAGTATGACAAGTGATAAGCTAAAAACGGAGCGAAGCTCAGCACCCGGCACGCACGTCATCGGACGAACAGCACGGCTTGTGTCACATCGCTAGCAGCACCGTAGCTAATGACTCGAGCCCTGAGTCACACATGGAAGCGAACAACCTGTGGATTCAAGGAAGCAGAGCATGGAAACTTGTGAACTTGTGAACCGTGTAACATCGTGTAACCCTGTGCAGAGAAGTGGGCGTTGCCTCTGGGCATCGCCCGAGCCTCAGCATTGGCCTGCCCAGAAGAATGGGGGCGCGGGCCCGGGACACACAGAAGTGAGTCACAGCTGGCGTGTTGTTCTCGCTTTTCGTGCCTGAGCCAAGACCTGCTGCAGTTCGCTTGCGATCGCTGGCCCTGGCAGTTTGCGACATTCATTCTCTCTCTTTTTCTTGCTGTCGTCTTCTTCCTTGGGTCAGTCTTTGCTTACTCATGACTCTTCAGCACTCTCCCTTTCTTTCGTCAGGGCTATGGTGCAGCGGTTTCCCCCTACACAGCTCTCCCTCTCCCCCTCTCGATCTTAGGTGGCAGTCTACCACTTCTCAGCATGCTCAGCCCTTCGCGGTCATCCCAACAAAGAGCCGATGGCGAAGGCTGTTGGCCTGGCAGGTCGACCGAGGACTTGTGACTTGTAACTTGTACATTTCACACTTTCCTCCAGCGTGGAGCGCTTCCTCGCAACAGCGCGAAGCATTGGCCTCAGCTCTTTGGAGTCGAAACCTGCACTTCGCCTCTGTGGCTTTATCCACTCCACGGTGTGGGTGTCTACCGAGACACGAAGTTTCCATGGTAGAGCTCCAGCTTCGCAAGTCTTGCGAGGCCTTCGGACGCATGCAAGATATGCAGTTCTTCTCTTGACCAGCCAATCCAAGCTCGGGCAGGAGCTCAAAGAAACCACCGGCCAGTTCTGCGGAAATATCTGAGACGTCAATGCAGTGGTTGGTCAACTGAAACGACGAGCTGAGAGCAACACTTGGCGGCCAATCGAGGAGACTGATCTTGCGAATGCCTGACAGGCCAAGCTGAGCGAAACGGCGCATTAATGCAGCAGCTTCATAACTCCGGTCCTGAAACGATCACACAAGAGATTCCCTTTTGGATCGAATTCTTTTGCAGTGCTAGCAGCTAGTTTCGAAGTGGTCGCTGCCACCCTCAAGGACTCAGTTGCGAGGCTTGAAGGCCCCCGCCAAGGCTTCTTGCCATTGCTCGATAGAAACAAAAGCATCCATCAGCTCACCTCGTCACTCTTGCCCTCTCACAAACAGCAGGGCACTTTCAAGCTACTTCCTTGAGTGTCAGACGGGCCAGAGTCCATCGTAGCAGGTGGCCTGCACTCCGCGAAATTTCGAAAGAACGGACCTCTTGGTCAGCTTCGCATCAGAACCGTCGCTCGGCCTTCGCCCAATCGGAACTCAGCGCCTGCTAGGATAAGAAGCACGCAGCAATGAATGGCGGTAGCCTCGAACAGTCCAGCCTGATGTGGCTATTCTCCATGCGAGGAGTAGCATCTCAACCTGAGGTGATTGCGATTGTACTGCTATTGTGGGTCAGCCTGAATATGACCAAGGTGAGTTCCACTGGCACGGTGAGCACAAGCTGTCGCCGATTACGGTGCCACACCGGGGAGCAGGCGTTATCACCTGCAGACTTGGCCTGGGGCACAAAAAGCGGTTCACCGCGTACGACCATTCTGAGAACAAAGGAGGATCGGCCTCGGACCGAAGATCACTAACCTGCGCCGGAAGGCAAATGGTGCACACGTGCAAAGAGCGGACACTCTGCCCGTCTTTCTGAAAGTCTGACGCTCAAGTTTCCCTTTTCGATCTCGCGGCCTTCTGAACCAGAGCAGTTGCGGCAGCATTGCCCAGGTCCTGAAGCGCTGGGCTGGGGTTTTGGGGGCTTCTTCAGGGTGGCCGCAGCTCCTCAACTCCCGACTCCGGGCTCCATCCTGAGCAGGAAACCACTCAGAAGACGGCAACAAGCGACTCCTACTCCAGAAGTGAAGTCAACCGTGCTGACGTGAAGCAAATGCTGCTACAATACAAAAGCCTACCCGGTCAAGTTCATTTTCGAAACAGACTCGTACTTGTAGGCTCACTGGCATGGTTGCGTTGCGACTCTCTGCGGCTGGCCGATCTCATGGTATAGATACGAGTAGACACATGTACTGGAGTTTGGTCAGGCAGTCAGAGCGACATGCACCAAATGCCTGGTTGCATTGCATCTGCGGATATGTGCGCTTCAGTGAATAGGCTAACTCGCCACAGCTGCATGCCTATCTTGTTCCGTCAAGTGGATAGAGTGGTCAAGCTGCTGTGTGGCTTGTGTCTCGTAGGGAGAATGGCGCACTCAAAAAATAGCTTAAGCCTAACCTCCCGCTCGATAGACTGCTGAAGTCTTCACCCGTGCTCCCTCATTGCACATTACTTCAATCAAAGCCACGCGTCGGACGGCGACACGAGACTAGCATATCGGTCGTGGTGTGTACATTCTTTTTCGCTGCAACTTCGTAGTTGCTGACCGCAAGACGGTTGTTTCAGGACTCATGCTGCTCATGCAGCTGCCACATGACGAAAGTGGCTTTCGTCTAGACACATCTTTGCCCCGTGCTCAAGTACAGTACATATACAGTAAGAATTACAGGGGTTGCGTGTGATGCACAAGAGCAGCTTTGCCAGTCTTGAGTGGCGCGTTGACGATCTCGGGCTTTCCGGACCTAGATCTTGAATGGCAATCTGAATGCCCCGATGCGGCTTGCAGCTGCTTCGTAGCTGCAACTCCCCATTATTGCAGAGCATTCGGCCATGGCACGAAACACACAACTGAGAAAGCAGTCTACGTTTAAGCCGCTTTCCAGCACTCGATCCGGGGAGCTGCTCTCGGAAATAATGCTGATCTGATCATGCTCGCTTGTAAACAAGCAAACTCTCCATCACTCATTCGTTCTCTTCACCTAGCTGATTATGTGCAAGCCCGCTTTCGTGTTAGTCTGGAGTTTGCAGTTGCGGCAAGCACATCCATGCGACACAGAACCCTGTTGACAGCTGCATCCTGGGGACAAGTCTGCCCTGCAGTGCATTGGAGCGGTCAAATTCCTAAGGCATGGGCCGACTCCGCGCTCTGCAGGGAGCCATTCCTGCCGGCAGGTTGGCTTTTGCATTTCTGGTCTTCCGGACTGTACAGACTGAGGAAACAGCGGGAGGGACAAGGATGGCACTGAGCACAGCATCACGCTCTCGCACCTGGCCAGAGAAAGGGCCAGGCAGGGTCAAGCCGAGTCCGTGTGACACGCACATCCTGGCCTGGGACACCGACTCTGGTCGAAAGTGATACTGTTGCGACAAGAACCGGTGCCCTGGTTTGAGCACTTGCCACGTCCAGATGACTCCTCAAACTGCTGCCACTAAGGTTGGCACGGGTCTTGCTCATCTCTGCAAGCTCAGCATAACTGATGCACAGCTCCTCGCCCTGCATACAGGGGGACATGTCGGACAAGATCACGCCGTCATGCATCCCACTGCATCTGGCAACAAGCAAAGACTCGATGGACTCGATAGTCTGCCTCGTTGACAGCCCGAAAGGTGCGAATCACCAGCCGCCGCCCCACAAAGCTTTGTATGCAGTTGGGTTCCTGTCGGCTCGTCTTGTGAACCAATCCGAAGTGTTGAGGGTCCCCGCTCTCTCCTCGCTGTGGTTGAAGACAGCCTGAGCCCAAAGGGACTAGAAGCACACCGTTGTCTCAGAACGCCTTGCTGAAAGCCGAGCTCTACACGCCTTGGAGGAAAAGGCCCAAAGCGATCTCCCTTTGCTCCTGCAGCCACTGTGCGGCCAGGAATGCAGCCAGCACATGGTTACCAACATGACGGATGTTTTGCGGAGCTCTGCAAGAGATCCTCATCTGTCACCGCCATGGCATTGATGTCTATAGCAGCGAGGAAATGAGCAATATCACCTTAGCGAGCAGATTTCTCAGACCGCATGGGCACTGCAAACGCCTCTGCTAGACCCGCTGCTGAGCTAAGATATGCCATGGCCTTCTATAGCCTGGGGAGCAGACGTTCGGGTGCGGGCAAAGTGTCCGACAGGTTGCGATAGAGATTCAGGAGAACATGTCGACTCGTCCAAACACAAGCCCAAATTTATTCCAAAGAATGCCTAGAAACGCTTACATGGATTGACGTTCCCCTCAAGTAGCGGATAAAACCTGTGGCCATCGCTGCCTCGGCAACAGTCGGGCTGTGAAGTCATTTTCGGACACTTAAGTATATAAGACAGGAATGCTCTGCATGGGCCTCCATGTTTGCATGTCGACATTACCAATATCTTCAGCTCCAGATAACACAGTCTGCTTTTCAACAGGAAACCGACGCTCAAGGCACACGGTTTTGGAAGTGGCGTCGCTAATCCCCTGCTTCTGCTTCGCGGCAGTGTTGGGACAAGTGCTGCTTCTCGTTCTCGACCAATACACTGCGGGCACCAGTGAGGCCCAGGCCGTCCCCGTACATGACAATATGGAGTGTGATCCCGCTCTGCGTTTCTTTATCGGAAAGCAATCACATGATGTAGTTAGCCAAGCATGCGCTCCGTGACTCTCAGTTTGCCCTCTCACTGTCAATCTGCTTCAGTGTTTGTTCGCGCATGGCAAGTGCAGACAGCGTTTGAGGGGCCGGCTGACGTTAGCCACGGCCTGAAAGGCCTGCTGCGCCTCGGTAGGTCGGTGGTGGTTTGGTGGTTTGGTGGTTTCCCGATGATCAAAGAGACGTAGCCGTGACATGCGGCACGGCGGCAGCCTGCAAAGGAGCCACATTCCCATGGTCAGACAGCAGCCCAAGCCCGGCCGCGAGCATGTCCAAGCCTGATATCATGGGGAGATTGGTGAGGCTATGAGCAGTGCTGCGACAGATCCAACTCTGGTGCCGAGAGCAAGTTCGTTGGACAGGACATTCGCACCGCAGCTGGGCCCTCTGGGCCCTGAACATCTTGCAGCATGCTGTGCCAGCTCTCTCTGACGAACTTCCGAAAGATCCTGAGGCAAACAACGTCATAGCAGCGTAAGAAACGAAGCTCGGACCGCGAAGGGCACCAGGTACATCCCCCTGCGCTCTGGCCGGTCAACCCCAAGCCATGAGATGATAGACTCTTTCACGGATTTCGGAGAACAGCGGCACGCAGCCTCGTACACGTCGGGTTAGTTTTGGGCAGGTAGCGATGTAGCGGCTCGGTCTGCCATGACGCCCTTTGCGCATCCATCCTTCAGATGCGCTTCGCGACTAGGAGCCCAGCATCCCAATGGCTTTCGAGACTTAGCCTCGGTGCAAGGATGCGAACCACCACGGCAGCAGTGAGATGCTACCAATGCTACCGACCTAACGGCATCTGAGTTCTATACCAAGGTTGCTCGCCGCAAGCTGCCTGGCATGATGCCGCTTACTAGGGCGGTTGATTCTTCTTGGCCTTGCCAGGCAAACTCCTCGCTGCAGAGCCTGCGGGCAAGAAGCTCCGGAGAGTTGCCGTCATGTGCAGCTGCCACTTGCACACTCATCGCACCCTGACAGCCAGACGAAGAGTAGTCGGCCATTCCCGCAGCCGGAATGAGCCTACATGCCATAGCGTGGTCATCGGTTTCCGCCGCTGTCCGCCGACTTCGGGGGTCGGCGCCTGGAGTACCTTTATTCCTGTCCCTTCTTTCAGTGTGTTCCTGGTTCTTCGACCAAGCTGCCCCCACCATCTTCCCCGCCTTCACTTGTGACACTCTTCCCCCTTCCTTCCCCCCCTGCTCTGGTTACCGCCCTCACGCCTCTCCTTCCACCACCCCTTACAGCTCGTCACCCCGCTTCCACACTTGCTCTGCTAGAGTTGCAGCGGTTCTTAATTTGTCCACGCTGATCCCGAAGTTAATCTGTTCCATTCCGTCGCATTCGGATATTTGTACCTATATGTATACACATATGTATATTTTAATATATGCATATATACGCATTTACATGTACATACACATATATACATATACATATATATATATATACACACATACATATACATATATACATATAAACATGTGTATAAATAAATAAAAAAATATATAAATATATATATATATAGATATGGTCACCCCCCCCCCGTTGACAGACCATGCCCTTTCAATTCAGTCGTAGTGCATGGTCTGTGATCGGGGGAGGGGGCACTCAGCTTTCAAAAACTCAATTCCAAAATTTACAAAATTCTAGCCCCTAACTTTCCGGATTTCCAAAATATCAAAAAATTTTTGGAAATTTAGGAATTTCGGAAATTTCGGATATTTTGGAAATTTCGGAAATTTTGTTGGAAATTTTGGAACTTCTGGATTTGATTTTCAATGGGCTGATTGTGACCCATCGGATGACAGACCATGCACTACGACTCACTTGCAAAGGCAAGGTCTGTTTTTTAAAAAATTGGTAATCCTACGAATACTATTACCAATACTAATAGTGACATTGATCATTTGCTGACTGCCCAACCTAATACCAGCATTAACACTAATATTTACACTTTTTTAAGCCAATACGAATAGGCACCATACAAATACTAATAATGATTAATACTGACGTTCATACCCCTACGCATATCAATAATTATGCCCATGTTGGTAGTAGTGTATTTTAATACCAATACTATAATAAAGTACAAATACATTAGCTCATGCATGTATTTATCTGTTAGTATTTTCATGTAATCAGGAGTAATACTAATGTAAGACAAACGTTCATGCGAATACATAACCTCATTTTAATGTTAGCACTAGCACTAGCACTATTACTAATACCAATCACACTGTTTATACCAACGCCAAGATTCACATAAGTATCGATACTCCTACGGATACTACTGCGTATACTCTTATGCTGTTAACAGTGGTGCTGTCACCAATACTAATACTGACATTGATAACTTGTTGAATATTCAAGATCATGCCAGTATTAATACCAATATTAACACTTATACTAAGGCTAATGCGACTATGGATAATCCTAGTGCGAATATTAACATTAATTCTCCTACGAATACCAATAGTCATATTCATATTGATGTGAAGACTAATACCATTACAAAAGACACGTGCATTTGCTAATGCACACCAGAACACATACCATTATCTTAAAATGCCGATATGTATCAATGCATTCATGTACTCATGTTTTAGGACAAGCATATACCCATATACCAATGTAACAGTACACTACTTGTTAATGTGTGAATATACTATACTAGTATGCTATTATACTCGTATGCTACTATACTAGTATACGACTACTGTAATATGCAAGTATACCGACATGGCAGGTTAGTGTACTAATATGACAACATACTGATATACTTATAAATCTGTCGACAATACACGTATATTGCATATACTAGTATACTAATACACCAATGTACGAATAAACTTAGTATGTTAATATACTAATATATTAATACAGCAATATACTAGTTTACTCAAGCATCAGTTGTACTAAAGTATTAAATCAACGAATATGCAAGTATACAAATATGTTGCCTCTCGAACACATCAATGTATTGATATACTAACCTGCTGATATACGAAACTATCAGAATAGTAACATATCGAAACTAACTCTAATTTTGATACCAATACTAGCACCTCTGCCATTATTAACTACCCAGCATGAAGACTGATACTAATACTAGCAGTGGTACTATTACTGGCATTGACACTGGCACTAACACTAAGACTAAAACGAAGATGAGCACTAACACTAATGTATACTTACTACTGTCGATATATACTTATATATACATATACACTTACAGTAAACACTAATACTATTGCTGATACTAATACTAATACCAATACTAATACTCATACTCATCCTATACCAATGCTACCACAAAACTCATAGCTCACGTGCCGCGCGTCTGGTCCATGCGTCCTCAGTACATGGCATGTTAAAAGTATACTTGGTATATGTACTGTAAAGGATTTGCTTTACAGATTGTCGTCATGTGTGGTGTGTTTAGATACAATATCTCAGCCTAGTCACCGAACGAGAGTACACTATCACAAGGGCATGGTCTGTCAACGGGGGGGGGGGTGTGAGCATATATATATATATATATACATGTATACATGTATGCATGTATGTATATATACATGTATGTATGTATGTATGTATGTGTATATATGTATGTACATACACATCTTTGTACATTATGTGCAGACACACATACGTACATACATACATACAGACTCTATATGCTCTCAGTTCTTCTGTTCTGCATGAGGAACGACACCACAAGCCGCATTAACAAAGCTGAGAATGATTGAACTACGTGAGGCTGCCACCGGAACTGTCGGAAGCCACCGCCTCAAGAGACTCATGCAGTGGGTAAAAGCTCTTCGATTACCCGAAATTGACGTGTTGCTGGCACCATCTCACCTCCCTGTGAACACAAAGCACCGCGGTATGCGTCATGATGTGGTACATGGAACGCAGGCCAACATCCAAAAGCAAGCGGTGCACCGCGATTCCCGTCGGGGTGTCAGCATGTCTCAGCCAGCCACTACATCTGGGCTCTAGACGCATTGGCAGCCAAGTGCGCAACCGAGCTACTGAGCACTGAGTCTCACACTGCCGCCCTCAACTCTGCCTGCTACATTCTGTTCGCAAGATCCATGCACTTGCGCTCTGTCACTCCGGCTCGGCTCGGCCAGCTGAAGCTCTTGGCTCGACGGTTTGGAGGCTTCTCCACATACATAAGATATGTATATATACACACATGAAAAACATGCGAATATATATATATATATACACACATGCACACATACATATGTAATCATATATACAGACCGCGTGTGACAGACATCAGCACACCTATGCTTCATGCCTGCAGGCCCAGCGGGCCTAGCATCGCCTCCTATTGTCTCACTATTTCCTCACTATTACAACTCAGGCACAGATAGCGTACTCCGGTGAGAGCAAGCCTTGTAATACAAATCTCCAGCTGCACGCTGATTGTCCTGTCCAGCACACCGACAGACACACCCAGATTTGAAAACACCATTGCATCCGGCCTTGGACGCAAACTGCAATCCGGTTGCCCGACATTGCCTTGGAAGCTTTTCAGGGCTGCGTCCAGGGAGCTCGAAGCCGCTATGGAAGTGAGCATCACTTGCTGCTTCGCCCCCCCCCCCCCCCCCCCCCCCCCCCCCCCCCCCCCCCCCCCCCACACCCACCCCCCCGCCCATGAACATCAACGCGCATAGAAACGGAACCTGCGTCCATGGAACTGGAGCAGAAATGAGCAGAACATATTCTGGCGGCACAGGATCCACGACTGTGTGCTCCGAGTTTCCTGGCCCTCAACACTTCTTGATCGCACCTTGGTTGAGGCTGCGCCTGTCCCTGGCTCTGCGGCTCTGCCAGTCGAGCCGTCACATCCCACCTCTCAGTTGCCGGTCCGGTCCCCTCCGGTCCCCTGTTTCCTGCTCTAGGCTCGTCCTTTGAAGCAAAAATTAACAACTTTGGTCAAGAAGGGAGACGTGAACTACACTTCTACGAGCTATGTCCCCAACGCCGTGACCACGTGCTGGGCAGAAGTATACCGTTCCGTGGTCTAGGCACATTGCCTGCATTACAAGTTTGAGCAGGATGCAGGAGCTTTCCATCGTTGCTGAGGTCGAAGTCACAGCCTGGTACGAAAGAGGTTCAACTCTGCAGGAGAATCGCATCACTGATAGCTCACTAGGAGCTCTGCGCTGATGTTGCCCTGGCAGAAGCACCACCGCCCAAGGCTGCTCACTCAAAACGACCTGCCACTGGAAAGTCTGGCACTACCCGTCCCACGTCGAAGTGGCACGTGGCTCCTTCCAGTGCCTCGCCAGCACCCAGCGGGCCAGCTGCAACCGCGGAGCGCCCTTTGCCTGCCATGCCCAGAATCTGCTAATGTCACCGCGTAGTTAAGGCAGCTAAGGTCCGGCTAGGGATGTGCGGGTATGTGCTGGCCGGTCCTGGCAGCCGCTTCGTCCGAAAAGCTGACTCACAGCACATGGCCTTCCACTTATGGGTATGCGATGTAACTGTTGACTCGCTGACGACCTCTCGGGACTTGCCAGACTCGCCACAGGCTCAACACAACCTTCCACACAACATCCGTTGAATCTGAATCATCTAGCCTGCAACGTGCATTATGGAAGCCACACGATATAAAAATCATGGACAGGTGAAGTCTTGCAAGCTCAAACCTTGAGCCCCACGGCTGATTTTTTCGACGGATCAAATGGAGTGTGGGTAAATACGTATGACGCTGGGAGACCGACAAATCACATAACAATGCCCCGCTTTTCGTCAGAGTACAAATGCTCATCGCACATGCGCCCAGCCTGACTTTGTCATGGTAGTGCTCCATGGTTTAACCATGGACACCACCAGAAAGGTGCTCTCTGAAATTCAATATTGGTAAGCTACATGCTCAAAGGAGCCATGCTAATGTTTAATGCTGCTCGCGCACTTCCTAGAACACAGTGACAGATCGCCTATACCCAACTAGCCAAAGGACCATGCCTGAAATTGAGGGCAGCCTTGTGCTGCATCAACTCCTTCCTCACAAGTGCCCTTCGCAAGCAGGTGATTACAACTCTGCCGCGGACGCGCGAGGAAGCACAGGGTATTGTGCTGCAACCTGACATGTCAAGCTGTGGAGTGATACCGACGCCCATACCTGTTTCTGTGAGTTCGAGGTAAGGGCCAGTTGTGGCTCCAGGCTGTCTAGCACCAGCAAAGCAGCCTTGGCAACGAACGCTGGCACCTGCGTCCCTGTACCTCGAACCTGCCTTCAGCACATCTTTGCATGCGTCGTTCCGGGTCCAAGGCCAAATGGGAGCTGTTGCCACTCAAGGCGACGACACGCGCTCCTGACCAACCCTTTCTTGCAAATAGGTCACAATGAAAACTTCTCGTGGAGTGCACGTGGGTTTGGGAATACATCAATAGTCTGGGTGCTTGTGAATCACTCACTCAGGGACGACACAGGGCACGATGCAACGCGAAGAAAAATGCTGAGTCGAGATGCTGGGGAATTGCAGCTTGTCTTTTCACCAGAAAGCTCGAGCGCCCGAGCCTCTTGTTGGAAGATCTGCAGCGAAGGTCGCACGAATGTCACCTCACCGAACCCAGCACTCATGCATCAGGGAGCGAATTTCGGGATTTCTGCATCTCCACCATTCAAAGCTTGGAGCCCTGCCGGAGTCAAGGCTGATAGCATGGACCTCATTCTGAAACGCCAGTCTTCGCTCGTCATCAGCAGTCAAGGATCTGAGGACCTCGCGCTGCTCTGTGAGTCGGCAACCCAAAGGACGGCCTGACATCTCGGGGGACCGCAAAAAGCGTCGGCAACACCGAGCTGCAAAGCCTACGCGACTTCACATGCGACTTCACAAAATGCTTTTTCAGGCCTCATTGCTGCCACAAGCTGCTGCACGGCATAGTCGCAAACCCTGAACCTGCTTCAAGGATGGGTCATGGCAAAGCACTAACCGGCCATGACAGTCCATGTTCGCACCGGGAGGGCAAGACTGGGGAAATGGAGCGAATCCCGACACCATCCGGATCATCCGGGCTCCGAAATCCTCCCTGCTGCATCAATGCTAGACTCGCTAGACCTGCGAGTACTTCCTTGCAAGTCCCAACTGGAAGACGTACTTTCGAAGTCCGGCTCGAAGAACCCCTGACTGCAGCCCTCACTGACCCTCACTGTGGACGTCCAGTAGTGTTCGCCTTTGGGAGTTCTCAGGTGCTTGCAAGCGGTGCAACTCTGCTGCTCGATGCTGGACCCACCTGCCCCAAACCAAGGGTAAGCTCCAGCAGCACTTCCAACGGCTCTCCTCCGTTTGCCCAGACCGTGGCTGTAGGCTGTAGGTGTGGAGAAACGTTGAGAAGTTCCGCTCTAGAGCCAACCGCACAGCCAGGTCCTGGTGAAGATGGTAAGCGACAAAGGCGGAGCCTCGGCAGCACCGGCAAAGGTGCAGTAGGAGACGGCCCGGCAGTTTTGCAAGCCGAGATTTGGGCAGTCCGTCGGAGCCGACGACGGCCACTGCCGCTGCTGTGCCCGGAAGGTCTCCACCTGCAGGTCAGCGGAAGTGCGCGCCGTCCAGCGGCCAGCGATCTGGGCGACCGGCCGCTCAGCGAGGCAGCAGATAACTCCGCCCCCCCTTGGGCCAGAGGCAGCCTCGAGATGCTCGAGGCCGATGCACAACATCTCCGACAAAGCTTGGTGCCGGGCAGCGCTGCCGCGGCCACCGCTTGATCGCTCTCCATCAAGAGTCCTCGGCGACTTTCGTATTCGCAATACTTGCATGTACAGTGCATATCCAGGGTCCATGCCCAATGGTCCCTCCGAGGCATCTCTGGAAGTGGAGTTGATCCAAGACCTGTGGTGTCTCCGTGAACCGAGCCACCCTCAATGGAAAATAGCATGCCGAATTCGTGCGACTGAGGGCAGATCGAATTCAGCTCAACCGTGCGGAACACACCCTTTTCAATCGAATGCGAGTGGATTCCAGGAAGTCTGCAGTGCGCAGTCGTCGAGATGCCTCATCGCTGATAACTGCAACATGCTCGTCCAGCAGTCCCATTCCTCGTACATTGCGAAACGGCAGTGTATGCTCAGCTGTCATGACGGATGAACGCGGTGCCAGTCCCACCTCGCACGTTGCCCGGCACGGTGAGTATCGGTCCGACCTCGGCATCAAAATGTTCTCAAGGACCTGTGCATCCATCGGGGTGTGAACTCCGACGTGCACAGCTCCGCACTGGTTGGTACCCCCCACTTTCCACGGCTGCGAACTTTTGTAGGATACCACCGGAAGCCTGACTTGCCACTTCCACTGGTATGGCTTGTTGATGTTGCAGCACGATTCGAGCCGAATGTAGGCTTGCGGCGGCGACAAGCGTGCTGCCTGCCCAGGCAGCGGCAGTGGGCTGAAAGAATGGAGGCCTGGCTGGAGTCTTAGGACAAAAGATATCAAAGCCAATGGCCGCGATTGACTTGATCTCAGTTTCTCACCATTCCGTGGGAAGTGCCACCCAACCTTTGTCGGACAGCGGGGACACAGGGGACAGTGGGCGCACAGGGAATAGTGGGGACACAGGCGACGGCGGGGACACAGGGGACAGTGGGGGCACGGGGGTAGAAAGGGAAAGAGAAACAGAAAGCAGAGCGAGAGAGAGAAGTACACCATCAATCATGCGGTGTGCGTGTGATTGCATGAGCACCACCACAAAGCCGCAAATCCCAGCAACCGGAGTTGCAGCTACAAGCACCCCAAGCCGCGTGCTCAGCTGTGCTTCGTGTCGCGAGCCTGGCAGCACCAACTTTGCAGACCGTTCCGCGCAGTAAGTTGTTCCATGTGTGCTGATCTCTGCTCTGAACGGCACCTTCGGGAACGAATGCCAGCACTGTCCGGACCTCGTGTCACATCGTAGCAGCTCAGCGAGCTGGCAAGAACGCTCCGAAGCAAAAAGCTTGGCCCATCGGCCACGAACACCTCAGGAAGCGACACTTCCCACATGACATGCTCCAATCTCCACAACAGCAGGGCTTGGATTCGGGAAGTTCGAGGCGGCTCAGGCCCAGACTGAGAGTAGTGACAAAGCAAACATCGTATGAAGAATGGCCTTGTGCTACCCATTTCGGCTAAATGCTCCTCCGCTGTCACAAGGTCGCGACCGTCCAGAACTGTAGTGATCTGGGCCTTTCCTGGCATTCAGAAGAGCATTCTGCCCACTCTCTCTTGGTGTGTGAGGCTTTCTGCATGAATGTGGCTGCAGCACCAAGCCATGGTTGAGGTCTGCCCAGAGAGCCTTCAAGCTGCTCTTGACACGCGCCTGAGCTTCGGTGATTCTCATTTAACCACACAGCACACATTCGGATGCTGAGCTGGGCATGGATGCAACACATGCACACGCAGATCAGGCCAGCGCAGCACGCGTCTCCGGTGCTGCAGGGCAAAACACGTTCAGGACACGTACGTGCTTGCTCTAGCAGGCATGCCGTGGCGGATGCAACACATGCTGCGCACTGAAGGCCTTTGGTTTTTGCATAGGTCCGCCTAGTGTCAAGTATTTTGCAGTGCATGCGCTTTGCTTCAAGAAAGTCCGACCTACTTTGTTGATGAAATTGCATATGCTAAGGGAACCGCGGGTCGCTGTATGCTGACACCTTGGCAAGCACGGAGCGTGGATTCTCTGCGCCTGGAAAACCAAGAGCTGCTTTCGGAAGTCCTGGGACGACAGGCCCTTCGGCGATATCGCTTTGTGCCCGCATGTGAATCTGGAGGCACCTAGGACAATAGGACTACATGTGCGTCCCAGCTCCCCAGAAAATCCAAGAATATTGGCATCTGCCAAAGGACACGCCACACGTTCTGGCAACTCGTCGTTACTGCGTTGACCTGCCAAAGACAAGAGACAGCTGATGATTCTGCCAGTGCTCCATTGCTGAAGGCCCTCTCTCTGCCTTTGAACTGGCTGCTTGAATCACTTCTCGACACGGTGCCGACCTCTTGAGGCAACGTGACAAAAGTGCGAGCTGCACCGGCAAGAGCTTCATCTTAGTGTGGGCTGTCCAAAGTTTGGGTGATCTTCCTCAGCGCTTGGCTCTGGAGAGCAACATCCAAAGGACATGGAAGACCTGCCCGATACAGCATCAAGCTCCTGTCATGCCGTTTCAAGGCTGAGGGATCAGCATCTCCGTCCGTTGAACTGAAGCCGAACTTGGCGATGCACCCTGCCCGAACTAAGGTCTTGAGGTGAATTCCCCACTTTTCGTGCTCCGCAGGTGCTGCCTGAAAGTCCCCCTGCGCAGTGGCACCTGAAGCGTCGCTTCTTCCGCGCAGCGCTGCACGGTGCACAGTGCGGGGGTGATTCGTGCTTGAGATCCGGGCTTTCTTCATCTTCGGAGCCGGACCTCTCGAGTGCTTCCATCGCCGCCTGCGCTCGCAGTTGCTCTGCGCTGCAAACTTGAGAAGAGGGCGACGAAAGCTAGGGGAAAGAAAGCGTAGCTGGGAACACGGGGTGACTAGTGAGGCGATGCGAATGACTTGCACAGGGGGGACGTTTGACATGAAGACTACAACTTGCGGGTAGGAGGGAGGGCCCCCCCCCTCTACCTTATCCCACGCGCCGCAACCTTCAAGGAGGGAGGGGAGGGAGGGGGGTGGCGCGCCGCACCTTACTTACCCTTCGAAGATACTTCATGAACGAGGTGAGGGGGGGGCGGCACCCCCTGTTTTTTCCCTAGTGCCTTAATACAAGGTGAATTGCTAAAGGACAACTCCGCAAGCTCAACAGAGCTAGCTTTCGTGACATCGACCAGCTCTGACATGACCTAGGCACCATGTAGCCAGGAAGCTAGTCGGTCAGCCAAGTCGGAGGTGTAGTTCTCCTGTGCCGGACGACAGTCAGAGTCAGCACATGCGGTCATGCCAAGAAGAGCTCCACACACAGCTCCGCTCCTCGTCCAGCTCCGAGCCGGCGCTGTCGGAGCGCGCCGCGCCCGAATCCTTGCGGACAACGGAGCTACTCTTTTCGGTGCGCAAGTGAGGCCAGAGGCTGCCACTACTTTCAGCAAGGAAAAGTACGCTACTACTCGACACAACCCAATATGATGACGGACAGGCTGGGCGCACCACGCGTGAGTTCAGGCGCTTCATTGCCATTCCCAAGTCCCGGCCCTGGATTCAGGCTGCATGGTGCGCATCAGTGCACTGCATCACGCTGACGCATGTAAGCGCTCGTACTGCGCTCGTTGTTCCTCGAGCTAGGGTCCGCACGGAGCGGTTCCTTGGATGAATAGGAAACTCAACAAGCATTGCCCCTGCTACCTCTAGGCTTGCCGACATCAGACCAAGCTCCAAACGTCCGAATTCGAAACACGACAACGACCCCTGGCTTCAACAGCTTTACTTATCGAATCATTGACACGGCCGGAGAAGGGTCTTGAACAGCGCCGAGACAAAGGTACGGACCAAATGACTACGGCACTACGGCAGTATGTTCGCACGCCCAGCATCTGTTTGCGCCTTCTCTGGGTCTTTATCTCTTCTTGCTCGATTGCTACGGGGCTTGGGGTCAGGGACCCTTGGCTAATCAAAGGACCTGCTCCACGGTCGCCATACAGCCCTCTCAGATGTCACCGTCATCTCACGGGAAACCTCGTTACGATCTGATCTTTTGCATCCGGGGTTCATCGCATGTCCAGACATCGTTCTTCTGAACTGTGTGAAGAACGACTGCTTTGGTTCCTTGCCAGTTTCTACTCATCAGCCGGCAGCCACTTCGAGGTGGTGAGAACGTGAGGCTATGGTCTAGAAACACGGTGCACTGCGGGCTGCACGTTCATTTCAGCGATCTGCAAAACCTGTGCAAAATAATCACGCGTCTTGCATGACTGAAAGCTGGTCGCGAACAGAGACCTCGCTTTGCGCCGTCTCGACAGGCATGATTCGAAGGAGCACCTTGGCAAGATCCGACGACAATTTCCGGAACCGATGCTTTCAATTCAGATATCCTTCTAAAAGCTTGTAGGCCGTCGGCACATCCGGGAAGGAGCGCCACAAACGACAATGCAACCTCAAACCTCGCGGGCCATCTGCGAAGAGAACTTACGATGGATATCATTCAAGCTGAGGCCGCGTGCGCCCACGGGATTCCCGCCGTGATGTTTAGATTATACATCCTGCCCGTCATCAGCAGACAGGTCGCCACCTGCACGCGTGGATCGCTTGTCCCATAATGCACTTCGCCATCGGGTCAAGCACACAATTCGACACACCGCGGGGTGCAGAGCACATCGAGGAGATGCCGCGATCAAGACAACAGAAAGAAACAACCAGGATAAATGCAATACTCGCCACAACTGGAGCAGCAGTAACAACAGCAGCAGCAGGCAGCAGTTACACACCAGGGGCGATAAATAAAATAGAACAACTGTAACCATGGGTCGGCTGAGTGAGAGCGGCGGGCAGCGAGTGGGGATAAGCTGTCAGCTCCATACATGTTCGCGATTGAATTGTGACAACCTGCACCGACGAAAAAGCAAACAAATATGCCCCACCCAGCAACCGCTACCCGCGTCTCCACTGCGAGACGTGGAACCTTCCGGGGGGAGGGTGCGGAGCAACAAAAGCACGCGCCCGTACGGGTGCGACTTCTCCAGGCCGGGACCCGGGGGGCATGCTGGGGATCTCCGAAGTCTGAAGTTTCTGCTCTGTGAAGATTTGGGAAGCTTTGGGATCTTCCACACAGGTACGGTGGTTACAGGCTTGATGGTTGAATGGCTCAAGGGTTCAAGGTTCGGGTCCGTAATGGACCAAGCTGAGGTGGGCGTTTGCCGAATCCAAGCTTGGCACAAACCTGGCCATACTGTGCAGTGTTGAGCCCGCGGGCTCACTGTCTGCAATGAACCACGGTCATAAGGTGCAGCGACAGCCCAACTCCCGGATGTAAAGGTTTCCACCCAACAGAGCTCAGAACTTCCCTTGCTGGAAACCGAGACCGTGACCAGCAGGCAAATGGTGCCTTCGGCCAAAAAGTTTCCCGCCTGAGAAGCAGAGTCAGTTAGCGATGCATTCCGCGACATGAAGACACCCAACAAAGACTTGCAGTCGCAGTCGGCACGTGAAGCATCTCTGTGCAGCGCACGTAGCGTCTCAAAGGCAACATCCTCGGATTTCTCCGATTGTGAGTACCACAGCTAGACTCTCTGAATGCACTGGATGAGGATCCCCGGGCCCGGCAAGGCACTGCTAGGCAAGATGCCAACGGTGCTGAAGTCTGCTGTGGGTGCTGTAGAGTTCATTTATTCAGGCCAAGGCTTTTTCACTTCAGTGTTGAACTCGAAGAGAGGGAAATCCTCAGAACAAGTTCATCGGGCGAAGGCCAACTCAAACACTGCCAAGGGTAGCTGAAACTTGCCCACGCCAAACTGCTACGGCTGCAGCCTCCTCTTTGCAGTGCACATGCCCACGGCGCAAAACGACTGTCAGCGCCTGGCGCAAACCCCGCTCAACGCAGAGACCGGCACAACGCCCTTTTCTGCCTCGCATGCCGTCTTGAAGTTCCACTGGATAACCACCTGTACAACACGTGCCAATGGAATGTGGGCACTTGAGCTACCCTGGACTACAACAAGCCAGGGAACATCGATGTACTCCTCGTCGAAGTCGCTTGGACTAGCCAGTACAATCTTGTAGAGAGGAAGCTCCTTAGAAGAAGACGGACCGGACTCTTGCTTCAAGTTGCCTTCGGGTTCTGTAGATGCTGCCCGGTTTGCACTCTGAGCTGAGCTGCTGACCATTGCGTTCTGCGTGTCTACGAAAATAGAAAAGCCTTCAACTCGCCGGAACTCGCCATAGCCGCTCTCACCTCGTTGCAGCTCGCACAAGTGCCCAGTCGCTTTTGCGCATGTTCCAGTCTCCACCTCGCCACTTTTCGTTGAAGCCAGTGCGGACCTCAGGAAATAAGACTTCCTTCCCTTGCAGCATGTCTGGAAATAATGCAGGAACCTCGAAATTTAGCCCGAAGAATCCCTCTGCATGCTGAGCACCACACCAATGGGAGCTCATCCGCAGGCCACGCAGGCACAGTACTTTCTAGGCGCAATGCCTTCCGCACGCCAGCAGCCTCAAAGCGTCTTCGTTTCGGCAGACATCGGACCGTACTTTGCTTTGCACTTTGCTGTGCTGCTGAGCATCCTGGCACTTACGGGGCTCTGCGGCGATGACCCGCCAGAGGTGTGAGAAGTCTTTGACTTTCTCTCAGACGGTTGCGGTAAAACCGCGTCACCTGCAACACCCAGCCATTCCCGGACTAGTGGAACAGCATCGGAGTATCGGCAGGCCTGGAAAAACTTGAGCAGAAACCTTGAAACATTCTCAGTTTTGCTCACGGATGTCTGGGTCTGTGAGCGTCCAACAAACGGATCGGCAGAAACAACATGTGGCGGACCACAAAAAAAGCCAGCAGTCAGCCATAACTTTCATGTCATGTAAGATTGAAATCCTAGCAAAACTGGCACAGCATGCATGCAAGAGGAATGGACATCCTGACATCCACCGAAAACCGGGCAATGAAGCCCCGTTCACCACTGCACGAAATCCATTCCAAGATCGAGCCTGTGTCTCAAAAGTTATGCCACAAACCCCACCCACCTACCCCTTCGTGGAAACCCTTTTCCCTTGCACTGAGAAAGGACACAGATGTTTGCAGGTGGGCGCAGCCAAATTCGTCCAACCCAAGGACTTCCCTTCGGAAGTCTGATGAGTCTCAAGTGGGTTCCTGTGCTCGGGTCCAGGCATAGAGTGTCGCATCACCATACCTTGCAAGCATGGATTCTCAGCTGTCTCGGGCGATCCTGTCAAGCTGCCAGAGGCCGCGGCACTCTCATCTTGAGCGACGGCCCGTTAGCGAGCATCAGCCACTGCATCCGCCTGCTCTGAGCGTCCATGGGTGATGGATGGTTCGGAAACCACACCGCCCCGAGTTTCTGGCACACAAGTTTCTCCCACCAGGAAATATGGAACTTCCAGCGTCTTGTTTTGCGAGTAGCCCTGGCGATCAGGACGTGGGGAAAATGTGTTTCAATGGAAAGGCTGGTCGGCCTTTCCACTTTCGTGGTGCCAAGCATGAAAACCCTTTCGCAACGGCCTCAACAGGGCTTGGTGGAAAATCGTGAAGCTGACAAGGTTTGACAACCGGCAGCACAAACTCTAAGCCTGATAGCAAACGGTATGAGGCAAGACATGAGCACTGCGCTCGGCATCAATGTCGTTCGAGTCCAAGCTTTCCACCTATGTAACCGGCGTGTGTCAAGCCATGAGATGTCTTTACACTTGTTGGACGCCAGGACTGCTAGGAGAGCCGCGGGCACGCGAAGCGGTCGAGCAGCTTGCCTCGGCGACATCTCTGATATCACCATGCCGCGTGTCAAGCCAGCGGCATGATGGTAGTGTTGCTAATCTGTAAGAAATTGGAGTCCTCAACAGCCCGGGACCCCCCCCTTTGTAATCCTAGATAGAACTCCGAGGAGTATGAGGGGGGGTCCCGGGCGAGCGGGTGGAGGGGGGGGGGGGGTCCTGAATCTAAGAAGATGGCTAAGAGTATCGGAGTATCGGGTGGGGGGGGGGGGGTTGTAGTCCTGGATTTAGGTCCCCTTCATGCTTCACCAAAAACCAGGATTACATACTTCGTCCAAATCCAAGATCCAGGACTTTAAGACCCCCCCTTTCTCCAACACACACAAAGGAGAAGCCACACGAAAACGCTTCAGAGGGGTTAGAAGCGAAGAAAATAACATTAATCATGAGTGATTTGGAAGCGCAAACGGGGGTTTGGGCCGAACCCATCCGCTTTTTTAGACTGCAAACTCCTTGCTCTCTTCAGCCCCCCTCCCCTCATACTTCGTCCCAATCCAAGACTTCGAGCCCCTCCCCCCTTTATAGTCTTCCTACATCCATGACTTCAAGCCCCCTTTTTCTCCAACACACACAAAAGAGAAAGCCAAAGGAAAACGCTTCAAGGGGGTCAAAAGCGAAGAAAATACCATGAAGCATGAGTGATTTGGAAGCTTCTGCAAACTCCCTGCTCTCTTGAGCCGCGAAGAAATGAACGTCCTCCCTCTCAGATTTCGCCCAAAACCAGGATTACAAGCCCCCACCCCCTCATACTTGTTCAAATCCAAGGCTACCGACCCCCCCTTCTCCAACACACACAAAGGAGAAAGCCATACGAAAATGCTTCAGGGGGGTTTAAAAGCGAAGAAAATTAAATGAATCATGAGTGATAGGACTACGACTTCACCCAAACCTCATGCTACGCCCCAACCCAAAACTGCAAGACCCTCTTCTATCACACTTCAACAAAACCGACCCCCCCACTGGTCCCACTAGTCGCCGGGAAACCTCTTCTCAAAGACACACAAAGAAGAAAGCCACACGAAAATGCTTCAGGGGGGTTATCAGCGAAGAACATTAAATTCTATTCTTGAGCGATTTGGAAGCTCTGCAAATGGGGGGGCTACCCAATCCGTCACTTTTGAAATTATTGCAATCTTTTCGCTCTCTTTGGCCGCGGGACGTGAATAAAAAACGTCATTCCCAACACCCCCCCTCCCCCCCCTCATAATCTTCCGAAATCCAGGACTACAAGCCCCCGCTCCCAGCTATCTAACAGGTCTGAGAAATTCGGTCGTTGAACTAGTATCATCTCTGAACGGCTAATGATGGGGCGCATGCTTCAAGAAGATTGGCTGGCACTTCTCCCGCAGTGTCTCCTGCTGCAGTGTGCACAGTGGTCCTCTTCATGCTTGGCTGCAACTCACTCCTCGTCTGTCTGGGCTGACACCATGTCATCCATAGTTTCGAGCACCTACTGGGGTGCGCTGCAAGCTGAAACTGTCAAGTAGTCCTTTGCAGCTAAAAGCACCCAGCTATGAAAGTTCGCCATCTGGTTGACCAGGTTTTCCCCACCCATCCTTCGTCGCACAGCTCACATCCAACCGGGCAACGAACGGGCAACCAACTCCCCACGTCCACAGAGGCTCAGGTGTGCACTTGCCAACGACAAGGTCGTCGGGAACCATAAATCTATGGCGCCTGATTGCTGCCGCATTGCTCTCCAACTGCCCCTTGCCAACTGCCACTCTGCAGAAGGGTCGAGCGGAAACGATGAGCCTCTCGCCGTAGCAGGCGCTCACGTGCGCTCCCTGAAATCTTCATTTGAAAGCGCAAGGCCAGCCACAAGGCCACAAAAGTGAACCTGATCACTGCGCTGAATGCTGGACAAAATGCTAGCATGCCATGACATGTCAACCGGTGGCCAAGTTGAGACCCTGTCGTCGAGGCCCAAGATGTAAACAGCAGCCAAAGCAGGTCTAGCAGACGCTCCTGACGCCAGGCTTCATTGGCATCGATTCAGCCAACTTGTCAAGACTCAGCAAAGCACAGGGAAGCTCAGTCGGAACTTTTAATCAGCTGTCCGTTCGAACTCCCGGGTACCCTTCGATGGACATGCTGAAGCACACGGCGAGAATGATGCTGCCCATCAGGACATGGGTCTGGACCTCACTGTGCGATGTGTAGCACAACATAGTGACACGTGTGCTGACCACGTCATCAATTCAGCCTCTCACGCTCTCCATCCTCAGAGCATTTGCAGGTTAGCCAATCGCGAGCATGAGTTGGCTACAAGGCGGTGTGCCGCTATGATTGACAATGACACCTTGCGAACAAAGTACATGCACTTGTTGACATCACGGATGTCTTCGCGGATCTGCAGCGATCTTTCGTATCGCACCTCCGAGGATGCTGCAAACAGCAGCAAGGGACCCGGCAGTCCCTTGCAGTCCCTTCCGAGCTCCAAGCCTCCTGGCGAAAGAGATCCTGACACGGCCGCATACTTCCGTCAGTCTCAAGCTCCCAGGTGTCTGCAAGCACCTGTGCAACTTTGGCTTGGTGTGCATCGCCACTGACTGCGACCTTGGCATGGATACTACTGACTTCTGGAAGCATCAAGTGAACCGGACCCAAAGATGCCCTAACTCATGATGCTTAGGCCGCGACGAAGGACCTAAGTCAAAATGTCTTGCGGTGCTGACAACCACTTGATCCAGATGGTCCAAACAAGACGGGAGCAGGCTGAGGTCTTGACGACAGGAAGTCATTGCCCAACACAACTGCCTGGCTGTGGAGGCAGGTGGCCCAGGTGGCAACAGCTGCTGAGCAGTTCGAGGACTTGCCCAGGACACGTCTTGACTTCGTGCAAGGACCAAGCCTGTGAAAGAGCCAGGCTTGAATGCATTAATGCTGAATGTGAGACACTGACCTGCTAAGCCGGAAAGAAAGCAGTCCATTGCTGCGCTCACTACCTCTGCATGTGGCCTGTTTTTGGCATTCCTTGTCTTTGGGCTTGGGCTTCGAATCATCTTGTGATCTAGAATGCAGTGTCAACATGTATATCTGGTCTTGCCTCTTACAACATTCCATGCGCTGCAACGTCAACATGTGCATCTGGTCTGGTCTTAAACTTTGGCACGAAGTCGACTACACTTCTACCACTTCAGGCGCTGTGGTGCCAGCTGCGACGGTGGGCGCACCTCGGAGGGAGAGACGTAAACCGGCAAAGTTAACACATCTTGTTAAACCTTTGCAGCAGGTTCGGCTTGCCGCCGAGGTGCCGTCGCAGCAGCCATTCTCACGAAGGCTGGCGCGCCATCTTCCGAATTGAGCCTGAGAAGAAAAGCCGGCCGGGAAGCTGCTCCAAGAGCTCGTCGCGGAGGGTTTCATCAAGATGAAAGCTCGAGCTGAGCTGCGACCTTTGAGCACCCTTGACCGCTCTCACAGCTCGGACACAGCCAGGCGAGGTTCTTGGGTGCGGAGTCGGTGTGAAAAGTCGAATGAGATCGATTCTCGGATGACCTTCTTATGTATTCACGAAGCGGATTCCAGCACGGCGGCGATGCCCCCAGATAGCCCCCGCCTCGCGGGCGGGGGGGGGGGAGTCGTGGAGAACAAAAAGTAGTCTAGAGTGGTCGCAGAAATAGTCTCCTACTCTGTGGGGTTGGCTGTGGTATGCCAAGGAATCGGCAGGGACATGTTGGAATAGGCAGCACGATCGATTGTGTACACTTCACTTCACTTCACTGGGGAAAGGCTCCAGGAGCCCGCGCCAAGGCGCCCCCATTCCCTCTTTAGGAGGTGGAATGAGGCTTTGGGGCATTTGTGTACACTCTCTCTCTCTCTCTCTCTCTGTCTTGCTTGCATCCTCTCTCTGTCTCTCTCCCTCTCTCTCGCTCTCTTGCTTGCACTCAGCCAAAGAGGGGCAAGAGCGCCCTCCCGCTTGCTTGCTTGCAAGGCGTTTGGAGGGTAGGGTTGGCCCCTACACCCCTGCGCGCGAGCGCTACGCCGTTGTCCGAGTCTGGTGTGAAACTGGCGGTTGGCGCTCGGCTAGGTCTATGCTCACACAACATGTAGGTTTGCATGCAGCTGCCGTTTCAGCCCCGCCTAGCCGAGCTCGCTTGTGTCAGTACTAACTTTCTCCTATCTCTCTCTATCTCTTTCACGGCTACCGTCCATGTCCTGTCGAAGGCCCAGACTGGCACCGTGACAGTGCTGTCAGAGTGGTTTTTGGTATATTTGGCGGGGGGGTAGTCTCGGCATCCGATGTGTTTCGTAGCAGACGCTTAGCGTCCCCCCACCCTTTTCATACTGGTACCGCCTCTTGCGGCCTCGAGGCGGGGATCCAGGTCCGGTTTTCGCGTTGGGCACTGTGAGAGAGCCCAGAGGCTTGCACTGTGACAGTGCTCTCAAAAAGGTTTTCAGGATATGCCTGCGTGGCGGAACATGCTTGCAGCAAGGGAAAACAAAGCAGAACATAGGGAATCTGCTTGTCTGGATCTCTCTTTGTCCCTCTCCCTCCCGCTCTCTCCATCTCTCTACCCCTCTTCTTTCGCCAGGGCTATGGCGGACAGAACAACACCATTTCCGCGCAAGCAAGAAAGCAGTGCCGAATCCGAGCCTCCAACAAGTACACAAAACTCAAGTTATTTCACCCACGGTCGGACCCCTGTCGCGTGAGCCGAACAGAAACTCTCACTTTATCGTCTGGGTTGGCCAGAAAACCGGAGCTTTGTGCCGAACCTTATGTATTTCTGTATTACTCCTGGCTTGTGGCTTCCGGCTTCCATGCTGGACCTTGCATCTGTCAGCAACATAAAGAACATCCTGTTATTCAAGTTGCAGGGGCGAACAAAAAACCTTTTAGCACTGCGACTTTGCTCAACATGCGTCGCATCATCTACACTCGGACCACATGCGGGCGAGATTCGTTAGCCGCTAGCATACTACTTCTACTCTAAAAGCGCCGTGCAAACACGAATTCTTCTGGCGATCTGCAGCTTACCCAAGACGAGAGGAATTAGACAGCCTCTAAGCATTTGGTGAGGTCAGGCGCAGTTGCGGCGACATGGGAAAGACTTGAGATAGCCAGACAAAAAACTAAGGACATTGGGCAAAATCACAATCTACATCATGTCGACCTTTCCGCTGCTCTCCAGCTTCTCCGCGCCAAAGGTCCTTCATGCAGTCCGCATCAAACAGCGGGCGGGATTGTCTGCTGCCAAACGACAAAGCATTGCCAGGCCAAACATCACGAATTGCGAGCATCAGCATCTACTTGCATGCCTCCACCAACAATCAAATGCTAGAATTGGGCGCGCGATCATGCCATTCGTTGAAAAGAAGGTAAAGAATGCACTCTCAAGCATGGCTCCTCATGCAAATCTTGACGGCTTGCATCTGCCAATCCAGAGGCTCCAGTTCGCACACAAAGCAATAATCCATGAACAGAAAATTCGATGGAGCAAGGCCCTCTTCAACCGCTTCTGTCAGCCCAGCCAGTCTGAACATGGCGCCTCATCGACAGGTCATCATTGGCCGGGACCGTAAGTCAGGCTGAAGGGGCTCCCATCGGGCCGGCCTGCCATCGCCTAAGTCGCCCATTGCCCGCAGACTTCTCCAACTCATGATCACGCCAAGGCTTGGGCCAGGCCGGCGACATTGGCTGGCCTCTGAGCTCAACGATCTCGCTAGCTGTTAGCCAGGCCACATGCTTCGGGGCTTGATCTCTTGCTCTCGCTGAGCTTCGACCATGAGCTGCTCTAAGGGGTTGATGGACCTGAACAACTCACACGGCGACACACAGTGGCACGGCACAACCAAGCCAGCTCAGCGACCGGACCGCTGCTCGGAGTGTCTGTGGGGGGGTGCTCACCTTGTGTGTGAAAGCGCACACCCGCCAAGGAGCGCCCCACGGAGGTCAGTTGCTCAACGTCCCACCCGAAGAACTGCAGGGTTAACAGGGCGCTGGATATAGCCACAGAGTCCTTTGCATGCCAACGCAACACTATGGATTGCCATCAGATGAAAACTTCGAAGAGAGTCCCATCTCCGAGCTTCCTTGTCCAACGCCCGGAGCAGGAAGGCCGCAGGCTTGCGAGACCTGGACCAGGATGCGGGCAAACTTCTGAACCACTGAAGCACAAGTTGGCAGATGCATCGCACGACCTGCCCAAGTCGCGCTGATGGCACCTATGGACCGATCGGGACGTGTACATGGGAGCATGATTTCCCCACAGTCTGGGACACAGGCCATTAGCGGGTACGCTGGCTTACGCGGAGAGCTTGAAGGAGGAACGTCAATGATGCCCCTTACCTTAGAAGCATCGTGGTTCCTTGCTCGTATTGAGCTCTGTTCCTGCCACGAAATGGAGTGCCGGTGTTAGATCGACTTTTCCTCTCCAAGGAGAGCGCTGTTGCCTCAATCACTGCCAACATCACTTTACAACAAGAGAGCGTTTCACGCAGTCTCACAACGTCCAGGAACCATTCAAATTTGGATTCAGAGAGTGGCTTGCATCCGCGCTGTGACGAGACCGCTTGGCATAAGACGGCCATCACGGACAATATCATGTTTGCTCGCTTTGAATACCGAATTTTGCCGGGTGCATCTTAGCCGACATCGGGAAGACTACTGTCAGGCCAAGCACGTCCAAGCGAGCGGATGAACTGCATTCTACTACCCTGCGGGTTCGTGTAGCTGGCTAGGCGACGCTGAAGTGCCCACTGCAGCTCGAGCTTCAGAAACGACTAGCTACACAGATAGATATTCGTAAATATACAAACTGACAGGATAAACATGCCTAGATGAGGTTGCATTGTGTACTGTGCAAAACCTCCGTCGGAATGTGTAAGCAAACATGTCACAAGATGCACGCCCATGTAGTCAAATAGAACAGTGCCATATGGGAGGAATAAGCAATCGTCGTCCCTCCAAGTTGTTGCTCTGTATTTCTGCGGCAGTGCAGCAGCACCCTGTCGTGGACTCACCAGCCATACTTGGCATGCGTCTGCGCCTGTCAAATGAGATGAAATCGCACATAGCAGCTTCTGAAGCGATCGCGGGATGGGCCTTGGACAGAATCTTTTGCTGTCCTCGTTCCAGCATCTCGGCCTCTTTCTCCATGGCTTCTGTTGCAAGCCTCAACAACCAACTCGCAAGCAAGAAGCCTTGGAGACTGATTCGCTTACTGAGGGCTTGCTCGACTCGCGCTCTACAATCCCTACAACATGGAGGTGCTTGCTGTGTCTCGTACCTTCAGTGGCTGCCGGTTGCTGCGTCTCACAGGCTGGGGCTCTTCGCTGACACCACTTTCAAACGTAGTGCAAACGGTATTGCTTCGCTAAGCCTCTCCTAAGACACGCATGGATCAACTGAGTAGGCATCCAAGTAGCCAGTTGATCTGGTGCTTCCGCTTTTGGGTCTTGTTGGGGTTTGCGTGCGTCGTCTGACGCCAACCCCTTCCATCAAACCTCGCCATAACTCTCGTTTCGTCAAGGTTGTCTCTCGCCAAAACTTCAGACTGTGAGGTCTGCAAAACACTTTCCAACCCCTGGCGCACATGGAGACGTCGTCAGCCACGCGCTTCTTGGTCAGAAGCCCAGGACCACCGTCAATCTGGTTTTTCATGTACCAGTCGGGGTCCTCTGGTCAATAGGACCACTGAAGCACTGTGAAGTTTCAAACGGGAAGAGCCGTCCGAATACAATGCTTCTCTACGGTCTGCTAAGGTTCTGCTAAGTGTTCAGACACAGATTGCACCACCGAGCAGTGACGCACGTCGTGCAAGTGCTGTTCCCACTTACCAGGCATCGAATCTTCACGGTCCAACAAGGATGCTGCAATGTTTGCTTTGTTTTGCCTTCATGTCGTCTGCATTGACCTCGACAAACTGCCGTGGCTTTCTCCTTGGATGCAACTTTTCGCCATGATGCATGATGAACATTTTCAAAGGACGTGAAGGATGCAGCTGAGAATCAGTTCAAGGAGGTCATCCACAGATGGACCGTCTGGCTGTGCCCTGTGACAACGGTTGGCAACATCCGTATGATTACAGAACTCCAGGCAGTGCAAACTGAACGCGATGCTTTGAAGCCAGCGGCGTGTCGGTGGAGAACATGGGATGGTTGAAAACATTCTCTGGCACCTCTGCGGCCTGTCACTGTAGCTTAAGACGTAACGTTGCATACTCAAGGTCTGTGCTTAGGACAGCGTTGACCAGCCTCCTCGTCCAAGTCTGTGTAATTATCTGGGCGAAGAAGGCCCTCCACCGGCACTGTGCTCTTGTTCCTGACGTGTTCGCAAACTCTGTCCTCTCGGCAAACCCCATCGCCACATCGCCCTACGAGCCTGGCAGGTTTCACCTCAGATGGGACTCCGTCAAGGAATTCGCGAACTTCCGAATGTCAAGCCAGCAAGACTCCCCCATGCGCTGGCCGAGCTTCATCGTCCAAATCTAGACGAATGGAGCTCGATCCCGTTTCCTTTCCAAGAGTCACCTATTCAAAAAGAGGCACGGGCAGCAGCAAATTACATTCAGGCGCTGTTTCAGCAAATGCCTTCGGCGGAGGTAGAGCGGCAAGCAAACCTTGACCCACCGGATTTGCAGCCAGCTCTGCCGCCTGGGGGCATTTCAAGACTTCAGGCATCGGAAGGCTACGAGTGCAACAGGCTCGTTGGTGCACAGCTCTGCCTTCTTCAGAGGCGCCTCCTCGTGTTCGGTCTGCTGCTGGGTCTCAAAGCTCAGCCCCCTTTCGTCGGGTACAAAAGCAATGCACAAGTTGCTGTCCGGTCATAGACATGGCAGGCTTTTCATTTCACTTGCATGGACAATATGCTGAGCCCAGCCTCGACATAGGCAGCTTTGAGTAGTCAATCTGCCAAGCTCGAAGTCAGCAGACACAAATGATTCAATCGGCGGCCGATCAGCCTATCATATCCTATCATGCTGTCGTTTGGGCCTTCTTCTTCTTGAGCAAGGCTTCGTCTGCCAGTGGATCGCCGCCTCGGCAGCACTGCGAATAATCTCGGAGCCAATGTTGCGAAACCAAGCATAGGACCGCTGTCTGCTGAATTTGGGGATGGCTCCCCCGCCTCTGATACGGACGACCAGGCGCAGAGAAGACAGAGATGCAGTTGATTTCAATCGCTGACAGGGAGCCTGGACCTTCGCTTCCGGTGCTTCGGTGCTTTCCTCACCGTCGCTGTCATAGCCGGCGCCCAGAAAGCTCATTGTGTCAAATGCTCTGTCTTAGACTTAGACTCACTGGACTGTTTAGGTGCAAGCTCTGCTGTGGAGCCGTTCTTGATACCTAGAGGCGTACGTCAGCTGCAAAAGGCGGTTCATCAGAAAGAACACGAACGGCTGCGCAAGATAGATCAACCTTGAGCAGCTGAGGACTACACGCACTGATGCTGCTGAAAGCTTCTGACGTGTGCTGGTTCGGCCTGAATTAAAACTCTCCCGAAACCTTTCAAGGATCCTGTTTCGAAAACCCCTGAACTCCGGTTGCAAACAGAAAGGAGCCGGGGTCCCTGCAGGAGGTTGTCCTAGATTGGCCAGTCTCAAATCCTGAACATTAGCTTTTGTTGCGGCCACTGTGGTACAGTGCAAAGCCATTTCAAGCCTGGTCGGCAGCCTTGGCCTTTTCAGGGCCAGCGATCCTGAACAACCAAGAATCCGCGGTGAGAGTTCGCAGGGTCTGAGTCCGACGAGCAGCCTGGAATCTTGTGGCGGTGTCGATGCAGGAACTGAGCTCTCTCACAAACACTCGCACACATGCATGGACAACACTGGGTGCCAACGAGATGAACCCGCATGCTCTCCAGCACGAACGGAACACTCGACAATTGCTGAGCAGCCCACCAGGAGGCGTACGCCTTCGTGGCATGTTGTCGACAAGAACAGGATCCGATGAAAGATATTGGATAAACCCCACACATGCAGAACTAGTGTGGGTCTGAAATAACTCGATCTACAAGTGGATCCATACGCACATACGCACATACATACACTTGTACATTTGCATCATATACATACACATATACATATACATAGACGGAGACATAGTCATGGATGCATGTATGCGTGTATGTGCAAAGATACATGCATGCATGCGTACATGTATATTTAGCTGGGTACATGCATGCCTACAAAGCCCCTTGCTTCCGACCGACCGACCGACCGACCTAATTACCTACCTCCCTGCCTACCTCCCTATCTGCCTTCCTACCTACCCACCTACTCTTTCCACTACATGTACAATAATATACGTACATGTACCGGTCTAATGTACTGATGTGCGTCAGCACTGGAGCAACATGATCCAGCCTTTCCACTTCGGGTTTCTCCATCTTCTCCCACATGCACGCCATGTGCGAAATCGTCGCGCAAGCCTGCACACAAGGACAGTGAAGGCCCGCTCCGTATCGACTTTCAGGAAACTGTGCCGTCAGAGCATATGTGCCTCTCGCAGCTCTGCACGGACATCCACGAGTTCAGACTCTACCTCGAATCGGTTCTGCCGGAGCATACAGGCGATTCTTCTTTGGCTTCAAGGTTCCATTAAGCTCCCGTCACGAGACAAAAACCATGACTTTCTTGTGGAGAAAACCAGGCATGGAAGACAGGTTTGTCTCGGCAAGTGGACTTCGGCCATCTGGCAATTGGATTTTGAGGATCTGTACATGCCACATTCCACGGGTGCAACCTCGCATTTCCAGGTTTTCATTACTTCTTGCTTGGAATGTCGGGGACTGATTCCCTCGCAATGATAAACCGGGAAAAAACCCAAAGTGCAGCAACATAATTGCAAAAAGTTAGCTTGACTAACAACTTTGGCCGCTCCTTTGTGCTACGACAGCCAGCTTCCTTGTAAGCTTGAGAGCCCGGCCGTCTGTAAGCGGCCGCGCAAGTTCAGCACCTTGAATCATGCAGAAGCACTGAGAAGCACCGGTTTCATGGCTCGACGCACCTCTGAGCTTGACCAGCCAGGTCCGCCTGCTGCATGGCCCTGGCGGCCCTGCAGAGCCTCGGCAAAACCCCAGCGCCTTCTGCGCAATGCCCCGGCCAGGCCCAGCCAGGCACAGCGCCCTTTCGACGCGCCCGAGACGGCCGCGCAGTTCGGCCAGCTCCTTTCGTCAAAACAGCTGAGGTCGAAGAATTCCGTCAGCTGAGCGCCTCCCCAATGTTGGGCATGATAGGGTCTGCCACATCCTTAGCGAAAGAAACACGTCTTCCACCTGCTCGACTGCCCAGCAAGACCCCGGAGAAGCAGCCACCCTTTTTGTTCTTTCCACACTGCACTAGAAAATCACAAAGACGCATCTTGCATCTCACGGGCACGATGCCCACCGATGATTCGCAGCGGCGGGGCCTTCCGAAACGTAGGGCCGCCTTGAGGCTAGTCGCCGTCATCTTCGAATTCGTCATCTGTGTACACCGTGTTCGTGTCAGAATCGTCATCTGCTGCTCGGTCGGGTGAAGCTCTTGATTCTGACGGCGATCGTGGGCTGGAACCTGCTCGTGACGATGCCACAAGGATGCATCGAAACATCATGGAGTGTGCAAAACTCCGGCCTGCATCCCTCCCCACCTTGGCCCGGCTGCAGGGTTACATGGCAGTTCAAGAGTGTCGTATTGCCTTTGCCATAGGGGGGTACGTAACTGCTCGTTGCACGAACTTGATCAGTCTCTAGAGTTCTGTTGAGTGACCTCTTAGATCCCGCTCTGCTGCAATGCCCTGCTGAGGACCATTCTGCCAGCGTAAATCCCTAAACGGTGATAAAACCATGACGACCACGACCACGTCCGCAATGGGTGGTATATAAACATAACAAAATGACACGTCAAAAAATGCAACGCGGAACGTGCACGTGCATGGTATACCTCGAAGGACCATGAACCATAATGAGAGGTTCCATGTATGCAAGGCTGCGCAAACTGCCAGAGCATGACAGGTCATCCGGGCCCATCATCATCACGCTCTTGTTCTGATTTCGGGTCGTCGCAATGTGTAACATTTGTTGTGAAATGGAGTTTTCCATATTATTGGATGAAGACGTGTGCTTCATAAGGGCCGTACATTTCTGTTCTTGCGCAAACTGAAAGCGATAATTGTTTCTTTGTTTGCTGTTACATTCTGATACGGTTATCTCTGGAGATATCTTGTTATCAAACTGCATCATTTGCTACGCTGATGTGATGCGTACGATCATTGAGATTCGATACATTACTCGTAATCTTCATGTCACTACAACTGTTCAACAGATAATGAACACGAAGGATAAGACAGATATGATATTGAAACAAATTTACTGCGACACACTACCTGCTGGTGCTAACCAATAAAAAACCAGAGAAAAAATGTAAATCCATGTGGTATCTAGAAAGGTGATGTCAAAATATACGACAACATGAGACAATGACGGACGACGAACGACCCATGAACGGAAGACGACAAACAAAAAACGAATAACATCGGCAGCTGACCGACAACTTCAGACGACAGCCACGACAACCCGGCCCGCCGCGACCTCCAGGACCACCACGACGACCACCAGTCGACTACCAGGGCACACTGGTGCAGTCAAGCGCCCGCCCACCATGTCTTGTTCCCCCAAGTACTGGCAGGATTCAGGAGCACGGGACCTAGTTCAGGACCCCGGCCAAATGCAGGACCACTGCCAAAATGCTTTCAACCAACTGTTCGATTCTAGTCTTTTGCGTTGATAGTGGGAATAGTGTGTACCACAAGGCTGGGCCATCCCTTCTTCTTTGTTTCTCCTCCCTCCCTTCCAATTTCTTCAGGGACCCACGAACTGTCCAGCAGCTATCCGAAACAAAAGCATCGCCCTCAGCCTAGACTGAGCCAAGTCACTTCAGATCTCGGATCGCTGGACAGCTCCACTGAGGTATTGGATCTTGACCTTCCTTGGCCTTTGGCTGCCAGCGCTGGATGCTGTGCGGCTGCGCCTGTAGCCTGCAAGCCCTTCAACGGTGGCACTCTGTTAGACGCAGCAGGCCTTGCGAGCACTTTGACTGAAGCACGGGCCGCTGTCTTTTCCGATGCTGGCATGCGGTTGGCAAAAGTGTTGGATTTCCGGGGTTCATCGCGTTTGGCTTCCAGCCTTCTTCGTGTTTTCCATGTAGGTCCCGAGCGTGCCATCTGAGTAACGTCAGAATATCTGCCCGAGGACGTCGGCCGTCTACAGCTGGATGCTGGTCGGCTTTGCTTGACGCAAGTGGGCGCCATAGATGCCTTCTCTTCTAGTGAATCGAACACGTCATCCAACAGCTGCAACCTTATGCCATGAGGTGCACGGCACAAGCAAGCAGGGATTTGTTTGTCCCAGGAGACTGCATCAGTTTCATGTTGGGAACAAGTTCCCTTAAGATCTACGAAAACCCATAGCTTGCATACCGGAAGGAATCTCTGAAAATGCGAAAGCTTGGGTGCTGTCACCAACCAGGAAGCCGGCGAGCAAGTTCAGCATCGTCCGCGAGCCGAGAAGGCTGCGTCCCGCACATGTTCCTGCCAAGCCAAAAGAGGTTAAGCGGCGCTTGGGAAAACAATTCGCATCTCTACATTTAATAGTCTAAGCAATGAAAAACGAAAACGATCCAAGAATCGTAGTCTTGCATGCCCATTCTTGCCCTAAACCAACTTGCAAATACACATGGAAGTTGATTCGCATGCCCTGGCTGCAGTGTTCCGGCCAGCCTGTGGCGACACTTGTCTTGCAGCGTTGGTATCGGTGCACTATTGCAGCGAGGCGGAAGCGGCCTCATGCAGACACAAGCGGGTGCACTTCAAACTGTAACGAGGCGGCCGAAATCTGCCCGACCATCCGACCCCTCAGCGAATTAAGCCTCGTCCGGCTCTTTTCGAAGACCACCGATTCTTGCCGCGCACCTTTGAAAACACCACGGCCGCTTTGAACAATACTCAACCCAACTTACGCAAGCTCGTAAACGCCACACCACACAAAGTGGCACCTTTCTCATGTGGCACAACAGGCATTTCCAATGGAAGAAGTCAGAAAGTGGCCACTTTGGGCGTTCGCTCTGTTCTTCCCTCACCTATCTCGGGCCCGCGGCGATGACCGTGCACACAATCCGACATCGCAGCTGTTTAAGGCTCACTTCGGGGCCAGACTGGAGCAGGGCTGAACTTGAGGTCCATGGAAGATGCATCACCTAAGATTGGCCAGACAAAAAACTGCCAGTCTGGCGACGAGCGACAGCCAATGCTATCTTCCTCGCCTGTCCCGGCTTCGAGCGGACCGCCAATGCATCTCGGCCTACAGGATGCCCAAGTCTCCGTCCCAATCTCCGGTCCCTCTGGCTTAGCCAAACTAGGGAGACCGCGTGAACGGAGGGGCAACAGGCGTCACCTGCAATGCGAGTTGGATAAGCGAGAGAAGAGTTGTCAATGATCTTTGTTGGGCTAGCATGAAAAGATTCACATGCGACAGAACGCCCAGCGCACCTCAGCAGCTTGGCCGAGCAACACAAGCTTCTTCTGCAAAGATCCTAAGACTTCGCGTTCCGAGCAGCTCGCATTTAAGCCTAGAAAGCCTTTTCCATTTGGACAGGTGAGGTCAGCACGGACCGACTGGGAAGGCTCCATCATTCCCTGACAGGATACAGTTGAAATTGAAGGTCCCTGAAACCCCTGCCACGACTACGATCTAAGGCACGGGCAGAGCCAAGTTGGCGAACCAAGGACTGTGCCTCACCAGAGACAGAGAGAGTGAGAGAGACCTGGCAGCTCTCCATGTTATAGGGAGTGCAACCATGTGCCTATGCCCAAGCACGGTCTGAACCTCGCACCTTGAGGCACAGCAGTTCTACGTGGTCGCCCATCCTGCCAAGACATGCGTCAACTTGGAAGACGCAGAGGGTGAACGCTCGGCGGGTGGCGTCTCTGCATCTGCATCTGCATCCGTCTGGCAAGCAGAAAGTCTCCGTCAACTTCGTGGGCAAACTTATCTTTGAGCGCCGAGCCCCGTTGGGCCCACTCAGCAGCTGGCTTCTAGCAACCTTTTGATAAACGCTCCGACCGGACGTCCCCGCTTTCGATTCTGTTAGGCTGGAGCATGGCAATCCTCGCTCCCTGTGCTGAGCGGACCGGAGCTCCGCTGGCCTGCAGTGGCCCAAGTAAATAGAACTGGAGAGCATGCACACACAGGGATCTGTAAGACACGAACCTTCCGCGACCGACCTCATAAAACAAGGGTGCCTATGCCTGGGCATGCTGTGCACCGCCTTGCTGAGGCCTTGGCCTGAAACTTGCCATGCTTGGATCTGCAGTGTAGGAACCGACCCGTCCAGAGAGGTCTTCAACTGCACAGGACCAAAGCACCGCGATTGATCCTGAACTTTGCAGAAGCATGCTCGTAAGCTATGAACCAAGAAGATCACAGCCGCTGCTGCACACGATGAAATCGCAAAGTCGTAGCGGTGGACTTGAAACTGACACGCGTTCACGTGTTGAGCGCCTGGACAACAAGGCGACGTCCCTGCTTCAGTCATCCAGCGGAGCACAAACTCCGGCACATGCTGCAGGGATTGTGACGGCTCTGCTCGCTTGGCAGTTTCCACCACGCCTTGTGCACGAAGGCCATTCCACGCTGCTGCATTGGCAGGTTGAAAGACTCAGGATATCTTGGCAGTCGCTGTCTTATTCCCATTTACAAGACTCTACTATACACTCTGCCTACACATCTTAGAAGACAGCTCTGGAAACTAAGCATCTCAGAGTCTCTGTGTCTCCAGACCTATAATGCAGCTCTAATAAGCTAGTACGAATATCTTGCTCGCTTCGCGGCAGGACTTGACCAATCCCAATCGCTCCACTCACGGCCGCCTTTTTTGCCCTTGCCCTTGCCCTTGCCTTTGCCCTTGCTCTTGCCGTTGCCCTGATCAGGCCACTCTCTTTGCTGCCACTGCTGCTGCCATTGATAGCCTCGGTTTCCAAGCAGCTTGCAAGTAATCTAAGGTGGGAAGGGTTCCACGACAAACCGGGATAAGGTGCTTCACCCGCAAGATGCCCCTTGCCGCGTGCGGCAGTGTTTCAGTGTTATGCAATCAAGCCGGTTTCAAAGTCGGTAATCAAGGTCGGTAGCATGAGAAGACTTCTCACCCAGCGTGTTAGAAGCCGAATTTAGCTCCGGAATCTCTTCCGCGAAGCCTGATCCCTGGCGGATCCGTGACCCACTGTCGGATGGTCATGACCAAATCCTCCACATTTCTCTTCAGTGGGAGACTTGTCCGAAGCTGCTGTCTTGCCCGAGATTGTCTGAATATCGACGTCTGATCGGCTTCTCCATGTGGCAAGGCAAGTTTTGGAAGAGCGGTGAAGAGAAGCACTGTAGTCAAAACCACTACGCCACTACGCACCCTGACTGACAAACAGAGTGCCTGTGTGCAATGTCGGAGCGCTACTCCCACGACGGAGCAAATGCCAACATGTTGCGGGACCTATGCTGGATGCGTTCGTTTCATAGATAGTTTTGGAATTTAAAGGCTAAACGTCAACTCGGCTGCTGAGTATCGCTGTGCCACACTACCCGGTACTCGAGAATGCAGATCAGTAGCTCGAGCCTTCGGTCGCTTGTGGTTGCGCGGCCTCCGGGCTTTCTAACCATTGGCTGTACTCCTCCATGACTGTGTCGATGAGGTCGTGTGTTATGCTGACAGCTTCATCGATGGCTTCCTGCAAGTCTACGACGGGTTCATGCAAGCACTCGCCAAGTCAAGCGCGGCCGCTGTACAGGATTGCCCTCGTTCCGGCAACTCTAAAAATGATGGATGATGTACGCGATGACAGGATGGCACGTTTGCGTTGGTTCTGGCCACACTCGTCGCGACTGCTCTGCTTAGAACCCTGTCTGGTATGAGACGAGTAGTGAAACAGATAAATCGCTTTTCAATATTGCTCAGCCAGCCATCTTCTGACGACTGGTTTCACATCTTGCTTGATGAAACGTTTGCCGATGCATGCCGAGTTAGGTTGCATGGCAGGCCGATTTACCTTCAGCTGCACCTCCCTGAAAACCTTGACACATGCATGAGCTTTTGCACCTGCAAATGATTGCAGCCCGGGCCTCTAAACTGACAGCATGATTCCCCACGAAAACACAAAACTGACCGACACGAAAGGAGGTGATGTAAGCTTGATGTCTCAGGGCACAATGGGACCTTGAACAAGAAACCTTCACATTCGATCCCTTCAACTTGCAAGCTTCTAGGCCGCAGCAGCAGCAGCAGCAATGTCAATTCAATTGGCCTTTGGCCGCTGCGCGGGAAGGCTCTGCGCATGGCGGGCGTATAACCTCACCACGCACTAAGTTTGAACCTGACCTTGTGACTTAGACCTAGACCGGGAAGGAATCTCGTGCTCCAGTTGGCTGCGCTGTAGCTCCGATCCATGCGGTGCTGCCTCGTACTCCGAACAGCCGTCGAGCACCCTCATTCCCATCTCCACCGAGCAGGATTGACCTATCTGCCCCGTACCCCCGGAGGGACCGTCGAGCACTTGAGAGGGTCAGAGGACCTCTACACAACAAGACCACTGAAATGGTCACCGGCTCATCAGGTACCTTCAAGGGCAGATGTCGTGCATCTTCAAGCCGCGAGGATGTCAACTGCTTTGGTCGGGGGGCCTTGTCAACTGCATACTGATCTTCATGCGAAATCAAGACCAGAGCCGTGTCCGCAAGATTCGCATCGATCACAGCATGGGGTGACACGCAGCGACGGCAGATGCATGATTCGTGTCGAGCTGCTGCTCGTGACAAGCCACAGGCGGAAGCTGCAGCTCCGTAGACTGCCACAGCCACAATCACAATCACAACCACAACCACAAGCACAGCCACAACCACAACCGCAACCACAGCCACAATCACAGCCACAACCACAGCCACAATCACAGCCACAACCACAATCACAACCACAACCACAGGCACAATCACAACCACAACCCCAAGCACAGCCACAACCACAACCGCAACCACAGCCACAATCACAGCCACAATCACAGCCACAACCACAGCCACAATCACAGCCACAACCACAGCCACAACCACAGCCACAATCACAACCACAACCACAGCCACAACCACAGCCACAACCACAGCCACAACCACAGCCACAACCACAACCACAGCCACAACCACAGCCACAATCACAACCACACTCACAGCCACAAACACAGCCACAATCACAACCACAAACACAGCCATAATCACAACCACAATCACAACCACAACAACAGCCACAACCACAACCACAACCACAGCCACAATCACAACCACAACCACAGAAACAATCACAACCACAACCACAGCCACAGCCACAGCCACAATCACAACCACAGCCACAGCCACAATCACAACCACAGCCACAATCACAACCACAGCCACAGCCACAGCCACAACCACAGCCACAATCACAATCACAACCACCACAATTATTGGACGCTGAGCGAGCGGGCTCTGCTCATTGCGGGCGTGTGAGACTGCCTTTGCACCTGAACAAAGGTCTGAGAGCAGAAATGCTAAGGGCCTGGGCCTGAAAGCGCTGAAACAGGCTACCGTGAAGAGAGCTACCCTACAAGCTACCTCAAAAGCCGGTTCATGCGTCTCAGGCGTGGGTGAGAAACCCTCCGTCACCCTCAGTGTGGACTATGGCGTCCCATGTCCACGGACCGATGATTGATGAGCCGTACCCCCTCGGGACCGTCACTCAGAGTGCCTGTTGCGTGGCGTCCCACTCATGGTCACTCTCAATCAAAGGCGATGGGCCGTAAGGTCGCAAAGGTGATGAGCATGTGGAACGGCTGCTAGTGCTGTTATCTGAGGCCGCTCCGCTTTTGTGGGCAAGCAGATTGCATCGGTGAACGATGTGGCACACCCTGGCGGTAAGCACACTGTGCCTAATAAGGCTAACCTTATTCGTAAGAGGCGTACTCCCCTCCAGAGGCCAGGCTTGCCGGCAATGGCTTGGGGGCCTCGGACAACCCCCCATTCTCGAGCCGAGAATGGGGGGTTGCAAAACCTTGATTTTTAGGCCTCGGACAAACCCCCCTTCTCGAGCCGAGAATGGGGGTTTGTAAAACCGATTTCAGCCATTGGTCAGCTGTGTTGCTGACAGGCGTTGCCTTTCTGGGAAAGCAGCGAGCGTTGCCCGACTAGCATGACAGGTATAGGCCGCTATTGCACACAAACGCTGAGTAGTGGAGCTACGTCAGCTGTACGACTTGAGCAGCAAAACTGAACAACAGCGTTCCTGCTCCCTGCCGTGTAGGCAGGTCGGTCCCACAGAGCCAGTAGGTCGCCCCCTTCCTGCAAGGGGAAGTAGGGGCCCCTGGCCTCAGGGGAACCCTCAGCTTAATCATCTGAAACTTGGACTGGCATAGGGCCAGCCTCCGCTGTGTGCGGTATTGAACCAAGTCGCACGAACAGCACATAGCAGCCGTGGCGTGCCTGCCTGAGATCTGAATCTGAGGCCTGAACCGACGGACGACCATCGTCCGTGCTGAGCCAAGGTTGATCGGGGTTGCTCCTCCAGAGGGAGCGATAATGTCCACTGTGCGGGGTGTCACCTATGTGGAAGATACAGGACTGAACCCATCCTTTCTCTAGTTGTACGGAGCCCGTCGGGGCCCACTGCGAGAGCTGAAGGGGGTGGTGCAGACCAGTGACAGCATAGCTGAGCTTGCGGCCTTCAACAAATCGCGCCACTGTGAGAACCACCAGTCGTTGCTGCCCTCGAAAGGCGGTGTGCACCGGCTGGCCAGACCACCGAGAGAGCAGCTCCTGAAGTGCATGGGATCCACCTGTCGTTGGAGCTGGCAGCAAAGCGAGCGGACCTCCCGCATCGGTGACCTCAGTAGTGTTTACATCCCTGACTTCCCAGGGTCGTGCAATCGGAAAGGCGGTAATGCCTGCAAATAAGGCCACTAGAAACTCCGAAGCATCTTGTTGTTGGCCATCATAGCGCCAAGCGGGAGTAAGATGGCGAAGCGTGAAAGAGGCAGTCAGGGTGAAAGGAGAACCAGAGACAGAATCAGCCACTTCCTGATGGAGGGAGGTGCTTGCCCCTCCGTGCTCCAGCAAGATGCACGTCGGCACCAGGGCCGAAAGCGTTGAGTTAACATAGCAGTAGTTGGAGATGTTGCGCAGCGAGCGAGGAGCAGCGAGCGCGCCGTCCTTTGATTCTACTGTCCCTGACTTCGGTGGCAGGGGGCCTGCAGGCGTTGCCTGGCGAGTCTGGGGCGTTGCTCCAACAGCGGTGGTATCGTCCCGTGTGGGTGCGTTGCCTTGTGTCGTGCCAACCGCTGG